TGGGCGCCCTCTGTCGGGCAGCGCTGCCCATCCTGCCTGTCCCTACCCCTTCCCTGCCTGTCCCTACCCCTTCCCTGCCCTTCCCTGCCTGCCCTTTCTTGTCCCTACTCGTCCCCGCCTGTCTTTGCCCTATTCCTGCCTGTCCTTGCCCATCCTGCCTGTCTGCTTGCCCATACCCATCCCTGCCTGTCCCTGCCCAGCCAGTGTGTGTCCCCCCTCCAAGGCTCCCATAGAAACTCTGAGCCAGAACCTGATTTCGCTCAGTAAGTTGGGGGTTTGCCTTGGAAAGGCGTCACCCGCCTCGAAAGCCGGTGCCGAGAGTCTGCAAAAATAAAGGTACACCCTGGAAAAAAGCAAACACCTTAAGGAAAACAGCGAGGGATGTAAATGTGAGAAAGGTTAAAGTTTACGTTTGCTACCCCTCTTCTTTTGTTGGTAGCATGTATTATATAAAAAAATAAATAAATAAAAATACACCCAAACTGTACATATTATAAGGCTATATTTTTATCTCGGGGTTCTGGTGACACGTACAAACCACTTGAGCTTTACTTCCGTGGTTTATATTGCCACCAGAAACCCTTGATAAAAATACAGCTTTATATTGTACAGTTGGGTATAGTTTATTTTCTCCATATATCATACACTGTGTTTTATTTATAAACATACACAAAGACACTTGCACATGCAAAGCAGTTTTTTTATTGAAGTAATTCTGAGGTATCAATAATACTATATTAACTAACACATTCTAACACAATAATTTCTTGGTTAGCAATGGCCTTTCTAAAGAGACATCTATGAAAATATGATAAAACACATAAAAAAATCAGTATTTCCATGTTACAATTTACGATTCCCATACTGGAAATTTCAGCTTCTGTTGGCTCGTACTTGCACAGAACCCTGCTTAAACCACCTCAAAATGTAGCTTTAACATCTCTTGAATACCTGAATCCTTTCTACAGAGAGGCTACGGGAAATAAAGCTTCGCACAGCAGAGAAATGCAAAAAATCTAAAGGAAAAAAGAAATCAAACGGTAACAGGAAACGTGCTGCTGATAAAGATGCAACCACGATGAGCTTTTCAATATTTTGCCCAAGTTGCGCTCATCAAACTGCTTATTTAAAAGACACTTTTCACACAATTTGCCAGCAGCTTCTCTTCAACTGCTTTTTCCACCAGTCACAAAAGCAAAAATTTTTATTCCCATCTCTCGCGATCTGAAAAGAAAAGCCGGGAACAAGCGACTCAACAGCCACTTGCTTCGGAATGCATCTCGGGGTGCTCCCGTTTACGTAAAACGCCGTTTCCAGCCCCAAAGAGGCGAGGGGAGTCCTGGGCAGGAGGCTGGTGGGGATGAGCGAGCCAGGCCGGGCAGGAGCGGGCAGCGGCCTCCTCAGGGGGAGGTTTGAACCTCACATTCGCCACGTCCCTCCCACTCCCTTATCTGTGCTTTAATGGACATTAAAAATAGAACAAAACAGGACTGGAGATGGGAACAAAAATCCATGCACAACAGGCCTGGCCCGCTGTAGTCATTCTGCTGTAAAATGTAAAAACAAGAAAGGGCAGACGAGCTGCATCCCTCAGGACACATCCCGCTTTTTTAATATAGTGGTGCCACCACACATTTCACTTTGGATGTTGCATTATATTTATATGTCACTCAAATATTTACCATTTTTCTGAATTCTGCTGGGTGCTCTGAGAGCTTGTTATAAGCCAAGGATCCGCGGTTGTATGTCTTGGCTGGTTAGCAGCCGTGGCTGAGCTGCATCAATATGCTAACTTCTCTTTCTGGAGCTTCTCGTGCGACAACAGCCACTCTTTCATGAGGTTCCCTCCTCCGTAGTTGCCCGTCTGCCCGCTGCTGCAAATCACCCTGTGGCACGGAATTATGATGGGGATCTGAAAAACACACAAAAAAGAAGGAAGGGATCAAAGGCCGAGGGTGGGGGAGACGCCCGTAAATCCACCCTGAAACCAGGAGTTGTCTGCAGGGAGAGGGAGGGAAGGATCCGGGACAAGGAGGCGGCGCTGGCCCAGGCTGTTCGGGCTGAGCTGGTCACGGGTGCTGAAAAGCAACCCAGTTCCTCAGGGAAAATAAGTATTAGGAGAAATCTGAATACATAAAAATGATGTGAAGTCTTAGAAAGGGTAAACCCGATCTATTAAAACCCATCTATAAAATCTCTGCGAGAAGCTGATTTTCCTGCCCCAGCAGCCCGGGATGGGGGGCAGGTGGCGAAGCCTCGCAGACCCCCAGTGCACACAAGGGTAGCGAGGAGGTACAGGAGGACCACTGATCACCATCCCGGGATTAGGAGAGGACATTTTTCTGGAAAAAAAAAACCAAAACAGACCACTGAGCAGATCGCTTCCAGGAGGAGCTGCTGCCCCGGCAGATCTCCTCCGCTCACTATAGCACCTCCACGTGCACTGCTGAAAAATTCCATATAAGAACAAGGCGCTATTTATTATTTAACAGCAGGTCAATCCCAAATGGGTTGTGAATTTTTAAAACCTACAACAGGAGAGATTTAATTCACACCTAACCAATTTAAGAACTTTTTTTCCTCGTGCCTTCTATTTTGTATCATTTACAGCCAAATGTCACGGATTCTGAAAAATCAATGCAAGAAGTTACATAATGGACTGATAATGTAGAGAAGTACATAAACACTTTTTTTTTTTTTTTTCAAATATTATTATTTATTTTTTATTACAGGTGATTATCATAGTTGAAGTACACACCATAAAAAATGCAATACATCATCTCTAATCACGCCGCATGTGTTTTGGTAACTGCATAGTAATTCGATTGCAATCATGTAGCTGTGAAAACAATAACTCACTAAAAAGTGCAGTTTTCACAAATTTGGATATTTTAAGTCAAAAAGTATAATTTATTTATATACAGACACGCAGACAAATTACGTGCTTTACACTGACTTATTTTAATCCCACTGAATGGTTATTTCAGTACGGTTCAAGCTGTGCTCATATTTGAGTCTGGGGCACACAAACCCCAACGCAGCCGAACACCTACTGGCCAGACCTTTATAAACTGGTGTGTGTGTGGGGGTGTGTGTGTGTGTTTGGGGGTTCTTTTGGGTTTTTTAAAGTAATTTTAATGGCTGAGGTTTAAAATCTCAATCTGGGCCCACAGGCGATCACATTAAACGGGAATACACATAGGTGCTTACTGTTAATCAAGGTTTAATAAAAAATGCTTATAATAGCTGCTTTATTTGGAGCTGGCGATGCCACAAGTGAATTACGCATCCATGACAACTCCAGCAAGCACCAATAAAATCTTTACTCTACACCGTGCCATCCTGGTTTATGACTTCTTTAAAGAAGTTGGGTTTTTTTTTTTTGCAAGTGGTTTTTCTGGTTTGGGATTTCTCCGTCTTTACAATCCACGTGCACAAGTCACTGCAGGCAGATTTTCTTGAGCGACAAAGACATAACGAGCCATAATAATATGCTGTAAAAAAAAATATCTCCAAGGTTAATTTGCAATTCTTTAAAAATATACACAGTAAATCAGTGTATTTTGATGGTAAGGCTATAAATCTTGGTACAGACAGGGGCCAAAACCTCCTTCTGAGCCAGTTCCCTAAGACACTCGAACCACGGGGCCCGTGTGCTGGGGGATTCTGTCAGAGAGGGAAGTTGATGAATTCCCCTGCTAAATTGTGTAAGAAGATGGAAGGTGCGTCCAAAACGGAGGAAAAAAAGGACTTTATTTTCAGGTGGTGTGAGCTGGTGGGGTCTTGGGTGTCCCAGGGTCAGCGCAGGACCCGTTCACGCACGCAGGGACGTGTGGCTACGTCGTTTACCATCAAGCAAGGAGAGGAGGGCACGAAATAAATGTAGCTTTTCCCCATGCCTGAAATAAAGAATTTCCTACTGAGTTTGTCCTCACACACGCCAGCGCCCGTACGTCACCCTCACAGCGTCGGATGGGAAAGAAAATGTGGTACAAAGGCTGTATCAGCGCTGTAATTTAAAAATATTGAATATTGCTTCAGTTTGGCTTAATTGTGGTGACAACTTTCAGACTACTAAAATAATTAAAGCTGCTAAAATTTATTAGGGCCCTAAGGACATTTTAGAGGGAGTACTACCCTAGTCTGGAGCTTTAATGCCTCGGCTACATTTAATGTAATTTTTATCAATAACCAAGCAGCTCATAATATTATAGCTCTGCTGAAATCTTCACGCTGTGAAATCTAATTCATCTAATACATGAATCCATCACTTACACAGACCCTACCTCAAACGCTATAAAACTTCCAAACCCAGAGATTTGTCTCCAACAAAAATAACATGAAGGGGCCCTCGGATCAATAATGGAGTCCCTCTGATTTGGGCACCAGCTGAATATTTTCTCCAACTTTGCTTTTGTTCTTCTGGGTAGAGGCCCACAAGGGAAAGAGCTTGTTTTCACTCGCAGCCTCATCAATACCTAAATCCTGGTGAACAAGTGACACTGAGAAGCTGTAATCAATAGCTCCCTGTGCGTTTTTTCTTCTGGTCAAATGGTTCAGCACTACTGACAGCCCTGACACTCAGAACATGATGCTAAATCTTTATCAACAGCCATCTGGGTGACTGGCAGAACAAGACTCGGGCGGTCATTAACGCTCGTGGCAATCTGTGAATAAACTAACTCCTCGATAATGCGTTTGTTTAGCAAAAAAGGTGGGGAAAAAAACTCCCTGCACAAGGTATCGATCGCCTTTGAACTGCATTTAGCAAATTCTGTCTGAGGATGGAGCGGCGCGGGGCTGCGCCGCGGCGCTCTGCTCGTTAGGAGTTTTCAATCGGAGGCAACGGAAACCTGCCCGTCCCATTACAGCGCTGATGGGCTGGAGACCTCCAGAAACTGCCCAACTGTCAAAACCAGAGCAGCCAGGCTGTAACGGGAACGGCTGAAATACCAGCTTAGAACATACAAGAGTCGCACATGTAACAAAAAAATAATAATCCTTCCGTCTGCTCGTGCTCCATTGCTTTTTCTCCCCAACAGAAACAAATCCCACAGCGTGGCCCCGTGTGGGTCCCGGGTTATTCCCCCACCAACAGGATAAATGCACAAGAAGTTTGATGTGTCCGCAAGGTTTCAGAGCCATACTTGCACAATCTTCTCATAAATGCACGATTACGCCTTCCAATCTCTGACGCTTAAACCGTTTTGGCTGAATAATATCCTTGACTTGGGGCAGATGGATATTAGCATCAAGTTGTACACTTAGCCGGGCTTTCGCCTAAACAAGAACACGGTTGGAGAGAACGTAAAACCCAACGTATGCAGCGACGACTGCCATTAACAGACTGCTGAAGACGTCTTATTTAAGGCACAGAACAGTCATTTAGGATGGCCTTGGACTAATCAGCCCAACATTCACCATATCCCATGAGCCTCTGTGATTTCTTTTTGATCCTCCTATACTAGTCTAATGAGATTTTTAATTGAACTTTATGGGTTCCCTTTGAGGACCACAGACCTTGCAATCAATCTGAACCGTGGTAAACTATCTGAAGCTTCTCTTGCAAAAGGTGAGCCATCCCCACCATGTCCTTGGCATAAATTGAGGCAAAGATGTCGCATCTTTCAGCTGCTGCTGGCACCTATTCCACCTTCTCATAAAGTTGAAGGTCAGCGTATGAATTATGTGAAGCAACCCAACTACAAGGGGAAACCTGTGGAATGAGCACTACCAAAATTAAAGACCGAGCCTGGATTTGTAGGAGGGAGAAACGTTCTGGTATTCTGAGGAAAAAGGTGAGACACGCAATTTTACTGACATGTTTGAGTAACAAAGCGACGCCAGGGTCGGGTTTGTTTCAAACGCTCAGTTTTACTGTTATGACTACACTCATTAAATCATGTTTATGATTTAGTCATCATGTTTATAATTTAGCCCTTTAATCACGGGAAGCATCTCAAGGAGCAAGCACATTATGCTTTCCCTATTCTGCATTGCTCCTGCAGCAACCATTAATAGAAGCGTTCGCTTTTACGTCGCATTCGCAACCCCAAGTGTTCACTAGTGTCGGCTTCTCTCCTGCGAACAAAAAATCACTAATCTGCTGCCTAACAAAACATCCCATTTCTGCAGCAATTCCGAAGCAATTGCTCCTCAAAGCCAGTATTTACCTCCAAAAGCCCACGTGGCAGGTGTAGCAGCTGTTAACACCGCAGCTCTCTGCGTTCCGCCCCGATACGTTAACGCCGCCGCAGTCCAGGTGACGTGTTCAGTTTAATGAACTGTTTAGCTAGATTCAGAGCTCAATATCTCATCTGATAAACAGGCTGCATGTGTGTTTGTACACGTAGAAGGTTCACGGGTATCCTACGATTCTACGCAGGCAGCACACGACCACAGAATCTCACATAACGTCTAATGGGTTTAAGCTTCTAAGCTCAATAAAGAAGGAGACCCTGATATTTTAAGGGTCCATCAGATTTTCCTATGACACAGTTCATGTAAGCAGCATAAAGCCTCGTTTTGTCAATACGCCGTATTGTACTTGACAACACAAACTATTTTAATATGACGGAATGCTTTCCAATATAATATGGTGTACATTAAGATAAGGCAATACAATGCAAACCTACAGGAAACAGTTCTCAAAGAATAACAATATAGTGTTGTGCAAAAGGATATGTAATTGCCATCGCCTAGAAATGTACCCAGCTTTGCCCTCAGGCTGCAGTGGAGCAGCAGCATCCAAAGTAGCGGTAACAGCAGGCTGTGGTGTGAAAATTCCTGCTTTTTCCCCTGTGAGGAAGGATGAAAATAGTTCTGAAAATATACAGCAAAGCTACTGCAATTTTTTTTTAAATGGGGTTCCTATCTTATTATTCTTATTTCCCATCCCATACTATGGCTGCAGTGTTTTCTGACCCCAGCAGAAAATTTTTAAACATATTATAGATAATAATGTATAGCTTTAGGGGAAAAGAGCTGTATTAATATACTACCACCCCAATATTTCATATCAGAAAACTGATGATAAAAAAAAAGAAAAAGTCGGTGCTGCAATGAGAGCCCTGCCCATTCCGAAACGCGTTTTCATCGCTACACACCTCCCGCAGTTAATCCATAATTTGACACGTATTCCACACGCAAACACACACACACACACGGTCCTTTTGCACTTCAACGCGACCACCTATTCACTGTTTTTTTTTCTATTTCCCACATCAATCTTTACACGGTCCTTCAGACCCATGAGCCATAGTACGCAGGTTGACTAGGCACAATATGCAGGTTCATTTTAGGAACGAGGTGAAATATAAAGATAATACGTGGCACTGAAAAAAAAAAACAAACAAAAAAAACCCCAAAAAAACCCAACCAACCCTCACCTTCCTTATTTCTGTATGTAAAGCCACCGGCTCTTGTGAAAACAGATTTTTCTAACCCACTTTGCAAGTCCGTGTTGCAGTCTCATATGTACCTTATTAAAGGAAATACTGAGAGGGCTGAATGTAAAAACAACACAGGAGGTCAAAGATTACAGCAGGTATAACGCGGGCGAAAAGGAGAGGAATTTGGGCATGGAAAGACACATGTTGCTCCGAGCAAGCGGTAATGGGGGAAAATATGTTGAAGGATGGCTAAAAAGGCCACAGTGATATTAACAGAAATCAAAGTTTTTTTATTTTTTTTAAAGGCAAGCGGCAAGGGAGCGAACGTGTGAAGACATCTATAGGGGTGTGCTCTTCACCAGCTTTCCCTTCGCCCTGTCTCTT